TCACATAACTGGTGCACAAAGAATGTTTGAACTTTGTTCAGTATCTACTCTAAAACACTGCAAATAAAAATCACAACTAGGGAAGATGAATTGTACAGGGAAGAACGTATGGCATACAGGAAAACATTGTATTTGAAATGTAAGAACAAGACTAATTTTCCTTCTGACACTAAATAGATCATACTTGTCTTAACCACTACATGATCAAAGAGGCAGATGTGTAAGAACTGTAGTTTCATTCAGTATTTTCTTTTGAAGTCAAATTCTCTAAAATATGTTCAATACCTCACCACATGTAGAAATCTGAAAATGAAGATTATATTTCAACTACATTTACCTTTTAAAAAGAGGATTAGAAATTTTATACTTACTGTAATGGTGATGTATCACTGATTTCTTCTATTTTCAAGTGCTTTGCTTTTGGAATGTCCATTGTAGTCAACTGATCATCCTGATCTAGATTTTCTGTTGTTTCAACATTCACTGAATTCCTCCAGTTACTGACTAAAGAAGTAGTGCTGGGCAAATCACTATTTGGTGTGTCATCATCAATTTCTTCAATGGCTATTCTTCGCAAAGGCTTCTAAACAGAACACATACCTCATGTCGTATGTGTAACCTGAACATCAGTGTGTATATACAGCTCCCACATAAAAAGCTGTGCTTAATTTTAAATAATCTTGTAATCAGTTTTATCTGTAGTAGTGCACATGGAAGATACTTTCAATGAAGCTACATGGCAAAAAAAGAAACTTCATGACGTTCTATGGGAAGCCTTATATGATCATTTTATTGCTTTACCGTCATAAACCATGTATCCTTATTCTAGAGGATCTCACAACCTGCATTGTTTTCCCAGTAATAAAAAAAAAATAATTAAAAATTCTCCCTACTAAGGTTGAATGGGGAAGGACTACCATATATTTTGAAAAATGACCTGGTCAAGCTTTGTAATTTAGCTAATCGAGTAAGTATCAGCAACACAGGCCTTGACCTTCAACTTAAAATTCTGAGATTATAAATATCTGTAACTCAGTGTTGCTGGCTGACCAAGTTACATACATCATAAGGCAATTAATTCCACTACTAGAGGACATGCTACCTAAAATGCTTTAGCTTGTTTAATTGCTGAATGATCACCATTATTTTTGACAATCACCTACCACCACCACCTTCACAGGTCTTACAAGGAAGCACCATTTAGTGTGGGTGAGGGAAGAAGTCAATCTCTTTTTCCTTTGCAATTTCATTTCGTGAACATGAGTATAGTGCATATTTTCTAGAAATACAGATGCGAATATACACAGTTAAACATACTCAACAATTTAGACTTCTAGAAATGGCAGATTTCTCTGTTCAACTCTAACACAATCCCATCATAAGTCTTCACAGCAGCTTGCAAACTGCTTTAAATCATGCCAAAACCCCCTTGTCTTGTCGGTGTATTGACAGACAATCCAGGGTTTGCTTTAACAATATACCATCTCATCATTGTGCCAAGATTGGGAGGCTGCCTGGTGGCTATGAAGCAAAATTACAGTTCTCTCTGTAATCCTTGGGCAGTACTAAAAGCATAGATGCTTCACCTATATCTGTTCTTCCTTAACAGAATAACAAGGAAAAAACAATCAACCTGGTATCTCAACTTAATTTAGCAGCCAAACTGAAACCTTAATATAATTGTCTATAGTATTTTGGCTACTTCACAACGAATTCATTTAGGTTTCTAAAAATATCGTATCCAGTTATAGAGAAAGCATAATACTACTTCCCCCCTACCTACCCCCCCAAAAAAAGATCAAAATAATCATACATTTTCTCCTAAAACTATCCATCTGAAATATATGTTTAATAGAGGTAAACAAACATTTTGAAATCAAGAGCAGAACACTAATGTACCCCATACAAAGTGTGAGCACACTTTGTACTTAACACAACTCACTGCTGAATGTATAAATGTACTAAAAAGGGAAGCCTAATACATAAAAAAGCTGTTATTACTCTCTGCATTATATTCTGTCATATGTACCTCATTAATCTGACTATAACCAGTGATAATTCATAGTCCAAAAACATTGCTTCTTGAAAACCAATAACCAGCTATTCTACAGTTTATGTGGAGGAAAATGCAGGCCCAAGGTTCTTGCAGTAGCCCTAGGTCACACCAGCATATGACATGGGCAGGCAACGTGTCTTGTTAGCACTACAGTTGCTATAGAAACTGTAAACAGCAGATGAAAAGAAGGGAAGTTCTCAAGTTTGCAGTCAAACACAGACTCAATTGCCTCCCCTTTACTCTCACTGCCACGTTAGCTATGGACCCAGGACAGGGTTGTGAGGCTGCCTCCACATTTCACATTATAGATAGAGGCACACATCATGTTTCCTGTGTGTAGCAGTGTACGCTGAACACCTACATCACTGCTGCTGTTACACGTGCATGGAAATGCTGATGTTTTGTTCTTGAAAAATATCAAAATAGTAAATCTGTAAATTTTGGGCTTTCCACAAGCAAGATGTATCTATCAGGAGTTAGTTCTACATAAATAACCAAGAAGTAGATTTTAACTTTAAGCTGTACTTTTACCATCATTATAGAAAGCAACACACAAAACAAAACAACTTACTGTTGTTTTCAGGTGTAACGGATTATCAATCACTTTCACTATATTTTTTATTTCTGATTCTTTTATCAATACTGCAGGATATTCTTGATGAGTCAACTGTTCTTTCTCAGCTAATTCCTGAAAAAATAGTAAGTTGTCCAACAGATTAAAAGTTTGTTAATAAATACATAAAGAATGAAAACTTTCTATTACTACAGGCTTACCAAAAAAAAAATAGTAAAAGTATACATACATTCTTTATTTTAGTGAGTTCATTTATTGCTTGTTTATTTCCAGGTTCCAGCTTCAGAACAGCTTCAAAATCTGAGTGAAAAACAACATACAAAAACTGCAGACATTTCCACTTACAAAGTACTCCTGGCAAATTTTTAAACCTTCTCTTTTCCATTCACAGCTCTAAAACAATTAAAAGCACGTAAGTAATTTTAATGCTTATATCATGAACTAGCTTTTAAATACATTTTTCAAACTATTTCTTACTACTTATCATAAGCAACAATAGTTGTAATTTCAAACAAAACTGTTTTCTGATCATGCGGATACACAAAAGGTTTTATATATATTCAGTGAAACACAACAAACCCTCACCATTCTTAACTTTTGCACTGATTACTTCAATTAGTCAGCAATTGATTGAATTGCTATTAGAAGATTAAAAAAATTAGGATGTGCTTATACTCATCTCTTACCTATCACATTTAGGCTTATTCAAAGTCATACCTTGCATAGCTTCTTTTAGTTTTCCAAGAGCAACTCTGGCAGCTCCTCTTCTGGCAAAGGCTTTAGAATAGGAGGCATCTAAGAGCAGAGCTTGTGTACAGTCATTTTCTGCCTCTTCATATCTCAGCAAAAGAGCAGTACAAAATTAATAATCAGTTTCAAGAGGCAGTTTCAATGTAAAAGACAGAGCTACCCAAATCAATTAAAATATGAAGACAGATCTTAATTACCTATATACATATAAAAACACATCACTGAGCTAAAACATGAAATAAAAGTAAACTTACAAAATTATTTTTGAGCACCTTGAAATTTCAGCGAAATCTTTTAGTAGCTTGTGACACACTGCTGACTCTCTTTTTATCATCACAGAGAAAGTCACTCCCTCTGCAAAAATAAATGCTTAAAGCCTGTCAGAGCAGAGTCACTTTAAACATTAAATAACCTTAAAACGAAAGTCAGTATCACAGCTTTGCACTTCTGAAAACAAGAAATACCATCACAAAGAAAAAAAAAAAACCAAACCAAGAAAGGAGAAGCAAGCATGTATGAGAATAAATTTCTCTACATCTGAATTTCTGTAACTTCTTAACTATTTCTAGTTAAGGACTAGAATCAGAAGTCAGTATATCTCTGCATCAAAGTAATATGCTTAATTGTAAGGTCAAATTCCCTCATGTCAGTTATATTTAGTTATACTAGATCAGGATTCCACTACATGCATATTAAAGTATTTTCATTCATTCCTCTTCTCCTCCTTCAATCTATCATTAAATATATGGAAACAATTTTTTTTTTTTCTAGTTCTTATCAGTTCTAGAGGTTTAGAAGAATACCAATGAGCTTGTTGCATCTTACATTTGGGTCCTCTTTGAAATGTAAAGACCCATGGAGCACTGATTTATCATACAGAATCGATTTTCTTGCTTCCTCTGATTCTCATCGTTTACATAATGTCTTCTACGGCTTCAGTACTAAATTACAAATGGTGTGTCAGAAAACTACCTCTGCAACCTAATTTATAATCTCGTAATTTGAGATCAATATGTTGTCCCTATAGATATCCACGTTAGAACAGATGAGCAACATAATCAGAATTGGCGCAGAATCTAGTTGGAGGC